GTTAAAAATGACCACAATTAGACCTATAACGAGTTTAATATCTTTATAATGTATTATATGACGAATGCACGGTCGTTTAAGGTGGATTTGGTCGAAAAACAACCATAACGATGATACATTTGTTATTTCAATATATAACGAATGTACAATCGTTATAGTTGTTTTTTGTAACAAACGTAATTTCTTTATGGTTTTTTCGATCGAATTACTTGATAACTCATGTATATTCATGTTACGTGTCATTGGAATGATAGTTTGAAGGTGTTGGAGCGTCGAAACACTCACAACGAAACTCTTTTTTATTTTTATTTCAAATAACCACACATGTTCTTTAATTTTATTTTTTTGAAAAATGGAAAGATCATGTAAAATCTTTGTAAATTTGTTATTTTACTTGAAAAAAAGACTAAAATTAGACCGATAATGAGTTTAATATCTTTATAATGTATTATATGACGAATCAAGGTCTCGTTTAATGTGAAATTGGTCAAAAAATAACTATAACGATTGTACAATCATTTTTTCAATGTTATAACGAATATACAATCGTTATAGTTGTTTTCCTTAACAAACGCGATTTCTTTATAGTTTTTTCGATCGAATTACTTGATAACTCATGTATATTCATGCTACGTGCCTTTGGAACGATAGTTTGAAGGTGTTGGATCGTCGAAACACTCACGACGAAACTATTTTTTTTTTTTAAATAACAACACTTGTTCTTTATTTTTTAATTAAATAGTTAGATCATGTAAAATGTTTGTAAATTCATTATTTTATATGAAAAAAGACAAAAATTAGACCGATAATGAGTTTAATATATTTATAATGTATTAAATGACGAATTACGGTCTCGTTTAAGGTAGATTTTGGTCGAAATACAACTATAAAGATTGTACATTCGTTTTTTCAATTCTATAACGAACGGACAATCGTTATAGTTATTTTTTAGAACAAAAATGCGCTTTCTTTATTGTTTTTTTCGATCGAATTACTTGATTACTCACGTATATTCATGTTATGTGCTATTGG